AGAACACGGATTGCATTGGAGGAATTTTTTCAAGCATTCCTTTATTCAGACAGAAATTCAGAAAAGCAGAGCGAAGAAGGCCAGTGAGGTAGTTTGCTGTGGTTGAACGTGACTCAATATTTATAGTCCGACGTATATAAGCCACATACACGTAATGAATAGGATGAGCAATTAACAGGCATACACGCGTATAAAAACAGTCAAGGTTGAAAAGCGATTAATTAACATAATGAAAATGTGACTAAAAAAGAGGGAATTAGTTAGTCACATCATGACAAATCTATACTTTTAGGATTGGGTCTATTATTATAGTACTCATAACGAAGTAGATCATAATTCTACAAAGAGGTTACATATCAATGAAATCATGATACCTACTAAACACCACACATTCCTAATAAACCTTCACATTTTGTGCGTTTGACACATATATCGTGTGTATCTGATTAACATTTCTCACAAATTGAGGACAATATACTTCAGGTTCAACATTTATATCAGATAATTTCTCTCTTTTCGAAGACAAATCTGACCGAAATGATGGTAGGTCGAACTAGAATGGGAAAAACATTTCCCTTCTCAATATGGAAAGGGTTTCGTCTTTTTTCCTATAGGTACTGAAAGAAAAGAAATATGAGTAAAGAGTAGCTTTTGGCACGGATAACATAAACATAAAAACCAACACTAAATCTAAAAGCAGGGGGAAAGTTATAAATCCAAGGCTAGATTCCTTCATCTTTTTTACTACTTAGGATGATGGGAGACTTTCAGGCAAAAGACTCTTCGATTAATAAATGTAATAATGTAGCATCCTCGGGTAGATGCCTAGATCATACAAGCAACAACATTATACAGAATGGGCCGTCTTCACCAAGTGCACTGGTGAATTTTGTAAAAAAGCGAAGGCAGCTTTCATTATCACGGAAGCGAATGTTCAGAGCTCTCAGTAACAAGATAGAATCAGAAATGTCGTAGATGGTGCAGTTGACATACAATAAAAAACTATCTATGTCAGAGTTACCAACGTAATCCCAAAACTAACTTGGATTACTATCAAGGAAAATTATGCGGAAAGTATAAATCAGTGGAAGAAACAGTTACAAAGTCTTGGTTTGTTTAAGTTAGTTGTGGTTAGTAAATGCCTACTGCCCCACCAAACATATCACAAATTCTTAAGTTAGTTCGTTGGAATCTATGGAATATTGTCTTGATTGAGTAGATTGTGGAATTATATGGTGCAGTGTAGATCCGTAGTCTCTCTGCTTTTGCTGTATAAACATATATCTTTTATTCAACTCCGCATATGACCATGGTAAGAACACGGATTGCATTGGAGGAATTTTTTCAAGCATTCCTTTATTCAGACAGAAATTCAGAAAAGCAGAGCGAAGAAGGCCAGTGAGGTAGTTTGCTGTGGTTGAACGTGACTCAATATTTATAGTCCGACGTATATAAGCCACATACACGTAATGAATAGGATGAGCAATTAACAGGCATACACGCCTATAAAAACAGTCAAGGTTGAAAAGCGATTAATTAACATAATGAAAATGTGACTAAAAAAGAGGGAATTAGTTAGTCACATCATGACAAATCTATACTTTTAGGATTGGTTCTATTATTATAGTACTCATAACGAAGTAGATCATAATTCTACAAAGAGGTTACATATCAATGAAATCATGATACCTACTAAACACCACACATTCCTAATAAACCTTCACATTTTGTGCGTTTGACACATATATCGTGTGTATCTGATTAACATTTCTCACAAATTGAGGACAATATACTTCAGGTTCAACATTTATATCAGATAATTTCTCTCTTTTCGAAGACAAATCTGACCGAAATGATGGTAGGTCGAACTAGAATGGGAAAAACATTTCCCTTCTCAATATGGAAAGGGTTTCGTCTTTTTTCCTATAGGTACTGAAAGAAAAGAAATATGAGTAAAGAGTAGCTTTTGGCACGGATAACATAAACATAAAAACCAACACTAAATCTAAAAGCAGGGGGAAAGTTATAAATCCAAGGCTAGATTCCTTCATCTTTTTTACTACTTAGGATGATGGGAGACTTTCAGGCAAAAGACTCTTCGATTAATAAATGTAATAATGTAGCATCCTCGGGTAGATGCCTAGATCATACAAGCAACAACATTATACAGAATGGGCCGTCTTCACCAAGTGCACTGGTGAATTTTGTAAAAAAGCGAAGGCAGCTTTCATTATCACGGAAGCGAATGTTCAGAGCTCTCAGTAACAAGATAGAATCAGAAATGTCGTAGATGGTGCAGTTGACATACAATAAAAAACTATCTATGTCAGAGTTACCAACGTAATCCCAAAACTAACTTGGATTACTATCAAGGAAAATTATGCGGAAAGTATAAATCAGTGGAAGAAACAGTTACAAAGTCTTGGTTTGTTTAAGTTAGTTGTGGTTAGTAAATGCCTACTGCCCCACCAAACATATCACAAATTCTTAAGTTAGTTCGTTGGAATCTATGGAATATTGTCTTGATTGAGTAGATTGTGGAATTATATGGTGCAGTGTAGATCCGTAGTCTCTCTGCTTTTGCTGTATAAACATATATCTTTTATTCAACTCCGCATATGACCATGGTAAGAACACGGATTGCATTGGAGGAATTTTTTCAAGCATTCCTTTATTCAGACAGAAATTCAGAAAAGCAGAGCGAAGAAGGCCAGTGAGGTAGTTTGCTGTGGTTGAACGTGACTCAATATTTATAGTCCGACGTATATAAGCCACATACACGTAATGAATAGGATGAGCAATTAACAGGCATACACGCGTATAAAAACAGTCAAGGTTGAAAAGCGATTAATTAACATAATGAAAATGTGACTAAAGAAGAGGGAATTGATTGGTCTGCTCGGAAGTTAAAATAACCCATGTGGGCTTGGTATAGTACCATACACCATAAGACTATGAATGAGTGGATGCTGAATAGCAAGAACTTTCATTTGCACTCCGATAGATAAGGGCAACTTTTGATTTGTCGTGCCTGATCCGATGAGGTTCTTACTTCATTTGTCGGCGTCTTTGATAATAATTCTTTTTGTCGGAAGACCCCGCAAACAACCTTGATGAATCTTCTTTGAACACATTCATTATTCCTCAAATCATTATGCACTAAATTACTGTAAACTGGAACGCGATATTCAAGAATGGGTATGACATATATTTTATATAGTAATAATCTCTATCCGATGTTATTAAAATGTATACGTACCAATCCAATGAGCCTTCTTGCTTCGGATACTTGTGATGCGATTCACTCGGAAAAGTTCAGCCTGTTGCTATACCTCAAACCCAAATCATGAACAGTGTTAGGGATTTAAGTACTTGTTTGTGTAGAGTCAGATTTGGGTTAGGGCTGCGTCCAGTGTACAGTAATTGACAGATTCCACTACAAAAACCACTGGTATAACTTGTTTATATCTCCTAAGTTTACCGCTGAAATATATAGTTTTCTGAATAATAGACGAGAGTGAATAGACTATACTTAAATCATCAGCAATGAGGAAAGTTTTAGCGGGTTGAAAGAATGAGCACATGTCATTGACGAAGAGGGGAAGAATAACAGGTCAATTGTATTTCCTCGTTTAACCCCACTGGTTACATTCATAGGTTTTACGTAGCAAGATCCACAGTGAACAGTGTGGCTACGTTCTGCTAAAAAAGGACTTGAACCAGAATAAATGGGGATTCTGTCAAATGAAGAAAGTTTCAGAACAAGAAGGTTGTATGAGACAGTAATGAAGGCCTTACAAAATCGAATTAAAAGGTTATCACCGATTGACCAGCATATCTTCCCTGAGCAATTTTATCGAAAAATTCAAAGTGTGATATCAATCATGAGCGTCTAGTCATAACTCCATGATGGCATGAGCTAATCAGACTTGCTGAAAGTAAAAATGACAGCAGCTGTTGGTAGATGAAGACTTCCATGATTCTTGATAGCACAGATGTTAAGATGACGTAATCGCCGAACCTCTGGCCACACTGTCTGATTTGTCTCTGCGGCAAACCTGACTACCAAGCAACTGAAAATGCGCAATAATTAGTCCGGCGTATAAGGCGGTAACAAAGACTCATTGACTATCGACCCGTTGGTCTAACCAGTGAGGTCATCAAACTAATGGAAAAGATTATTTGGATGTCTGTTATCAACTATGCGTAAGAGCGTAATCTTTTATTCAGGGAACAAGACGGTTTTCGGAAAGTCCTATCATGTTTGACAAATATGCTAATTAGAAGAGAAGATTCGGTTGTACCAAAAGATAGAAATATTCCTGTATATGTAATTATCATAGATCCAAGTAAAGCCTTTGACAAGGTCTTCAGTTCGGGCCTTAAATTAAAACGGGAATGTGTTTGAAATCCATTACATGGTAATAGACGGTATAAGTGACTTTCTCAGTGATAGGAGACAGAGGGTAAGGGTAAATGGAGCTCACTCAACATGAGGACCTGTAAAAAGAGGAGTTTCTCAAGATGCAATCCTTGGTACACTTCTTTTTATTACCAACTGAAGCAAAGTCATCCGTTCTACTTTTCGCAGAGGACATAATGATTTGGAGACCTATAAATAGTATGTAAGATAGAATGGTATTAAAGTGTCCTATCTCTTCCTTCCATCTAGTATTGATGCTTTGAGATGATATTATACGAAGTTTCAAAAACCGAGATCAAATCGTTTACGCCTGGAGTTTCGATTCTCTCACCGAGTAGTGAATTATTGGGATTCTCTTCCATAACACGTAATATCAGCACCTTTTGTTGATATATTCAAAACGAGATTGGACCTCCATAGTGTTAAATACTGCAAAGATTAATATAAGTCGATAGACCTGTGGTGGACCAGACAATGTATAAACTCGAAAAGTATCAACAAAGTTTTGATGATCTGTTAGGGATGCAGAGGAATATAACAATCATTATCATGTTAAGTCTAATGATGTCCTTGGACCTTAAATGGATATTTCAATATTTTCTTCATTGATAGTTGATAAACTACTCGAAGTATTATTTGTTACTAATTTGTCATTTTCAAATGAAACTAAACCATCAAACTTAGACATTAGATCAAATGCAGGAAGTAATAAGTTTCCAGGTGAATGAAAAGGTCGCAAGGTTAGAAGAAGGGGTTGTTGTACAGGTTTTGGAGCATTTCGCCGCCCTGAACGTTTCGTTTGTGACCGAATGCGAGGTTTGGTTGCTCGGACTTTTGTAGGTGATTTTTCTTCAGATGAATCACTGTTACCCTCAGGATTATTAGGATTGGATTCATTCCTAGGTCTCTTCAAGTTTTTGTTTTTTGAATTCAGGGGACAAATCCCATCGCTAGTAGCATCTTGTTGATTTTGATTCCAAACCGACGTCAATGACAAAGATAAAGGTTTATCTTCAAACGGGTTTATGTTGACTATCTTTCTTTGTAAGGTTTCTCCAAAGTTGTTACCTAGCTGTCCAACACTGGACTGAGTATTTTGACTTGGCACATCACTCAAAATACTTTGCAAACAAGCGCCACGCCAAATAAGTTGGCTTCCTGAGTTACTTTGTTTTGGAAATAACACGACACGCTGAGCGACTTTTTCTCCCGCACTTTCTGTCGAGTTGTTACCTGATACAAGATCTGTAGTTGGTAACTTGATGATGGATAAACCAGGATGAGTCATATCACTGGAATCGATGAAACACTTCAACGGTTTATCCTTAAACACGGAGACCTAACTGGTCATCCTATTGGCCATTATTTATTTCACTCGTTAAATATTGTACAGATGTTGTTTTCTATTGTTATGGTACGATGTGGTTTGTTTGTTTGGTATATAAATAGAGTATGTCTGAAATACAATGACTCATATCTCTGAGGCTGTGACTTGTGTTCTGGACTCAACTGGCTGGGTTAGGCAGCAAAGCAGGGCCAATCGGGACTCGTCCCTAAGTGTTTTACGTGTCACTGAATCAAATCTGCAATCCACCCGTTACAACAAGATCAATAGTAATATTAATATGTACCAGTTAACTGCTACAAATACAATGAAAACTGGGACATTACTTAAGTTCACCGAATTGATGCATGTTCAGCTTTAGTCTGGTACAGTAAATCCACGATTATAAATGGTTGGTAATTCCAACCGTGTTGACGAACTCTCCAGTAGTGTAATCCAATGTAAGATATGGTATATTCCCACTCACAGTCTATAAATGTAAGTAATATTTGGTTTAGATTTCAGTTAACTCAATCGCCAACGAGGGGTGTGTGTCTAGCAATGTATTTGTTAACAAGTCACAGTATGTCACGCTATGTAGTTATACAACGGAAAGTGTCTCCAAGGTCATTCACTTAAACAACACGTACAGTCATTTAATGAAAATGTACATACAGTGAGAAATTGACAAACTAAATACAAATAACATTAAAAACTATTTACGAAATAGGCTTGTCAGGCCTATCTCCACATAGCTCCCTCCAGAGTGTCCGGAGGTAACACTGGTTATAATAACAACAACAAAAATGTAATAATATTGCATATACATGTATGCGAAGATAATATTTACAATAATAACCAACGAAAAATGTGGAGATGTGTATGACATGTATGTTAGTAATATAGTGTGTTATTGTGTGAAAATAGCAGTGATGAAGCATAGTATAACAAACACAAAAGTAGTGAAAATACTGTCATTTAAAGTCTTGGTTTGCTAACAATGATAATAATGTGCAGAACTGTTACTAAACACACAAGAAAAAAAAATTGAACTGCTTATTTTTTGTGTGTACATGTTGGGGGACGACAGAACCCCAAACTCATATTTTTAAATTTTTTCTTATGGATTAAATGTTAGATATTTTTATTGGGGTCAATTGATGAACTATCGATTAAATGCGCAAATAGGTCAATTAATGAACTCGTTGATTGATGTTTAAAAATTTTCTATGACAATATCGATTGTAAATAATTGTATAAATACGCTTGATTGTGTGCTTGACTTCACTTGTTATCTGCTGTTTGTCTGTAGAATACACTTTCTACACCTTACCCAGACTTCTTGATCGGGTTAGCAGAGCCGGGGACAGCGAACCAGAATAGCTATCGGGTCGCTGAATCATTGATCCTTAGTTCCGTTCGAGTAAGATGCATCAGTAATAGCATTCAAGCAATAACGAACCATTACAGTACAATGAATAGATAATTAAATAGAGTTTACTCGTTCATTATTGTAACAAATTTTTTTTAAAAAAAAGGTGAAAAAACGAATAATTGTGGAAAAATATGATTAATTATGTACACTGTGAAAAGGAAAAAAAATCATAGATTTTGTTGGAAAAATCGGGTGAATATAAAAGTATGGTACATCGATAATTGTTTGTTTCGATTTTTTATTCGGCAAAATGTACATAGCGTTTGGGATTTTATAGTTCTGCCTGAGCGCGTTAAGCAAGTAGGTTTGATACTCGGTTATTCTTCCATGTATGCTCTAGTGGTGGTTGCTGGAAGGGGTTGGTTCAGTGAAGTATTCTGTTCTTTTTCGTGCTGTGCTTCGTAGAAGGCAGGCTTTATTCTATCGATAGCGATAGTCTCTTGCTTTCCGCACTTGTTGATTATGAAGTGTTTGTTCGTTCTTTTAATTACTTTATATGGTCCTTCATAAGGTTGTTTCAGTGGCTTTTTAACAGCATCAAATCGAACGAAGACAAACTTGCAGGTTTCTAGGTTTCTGTCGAGTTGTATTCGATTGTTATGTTCACGAAGCGGTATGGCTTTGATTCGTTGCATTGTCTGCAGCAGTTGGCTAGCTAAACGACTCGGGTTCGTTGGTGTTAAAGTGTTTGGGTCCATTAGTTGACCTGGTAATGTAAGGGTTGTACCGTAAACTAGCTCAGCGGCTGTACAGCCTATATCTTCCTTTCTAGTTGAACGGATGTCCAGTAGTATAAGTGGTAATGCGTCACTCCATTTTGTCGTATCGTTTTGTGCCATCGGCGAGCTTTCCAATTGGCGGTGAAATCTTTCGACCAAGCCGTTAGCTGCTGAGTGGTAGGCTGTTGTTTTGATGTGGTTCACGCCCAGAAGTCTTGTGAATTCCTGAAATAAGATAGACTGAAACTGGGGACCACGGTCGGTAGTGACGATGGAAGGTACTCCGTAAGTTGCTATCTAACGGTCAAGGAATACCCCGGCTACTGTTTCTGCGGAAGTATCAGCAATAAGGCATGCTATCGCCCATCTGGTGAATCTGTTCATTGCAGTGAGGATGTGTGTGAATGGATTAGATGGTGGCAGTGGACCAACTATGTCTAGATGTATATGTTGAAAACGTTTTTCTGGCAGGGGATACTTGCCAAACGGACTGATCGTGTGCTTCTGAATTTTGCTGCGTTGACATTGTAGACAGCTTCGCGTCCATCGTTTTATATCTGAATTGATTTTCGGCCACACAAAACGCTCAGTAATCAATTTGGTTGTGGCTCTGATTCCTGGGTGAGAAAGGTCATGCAGTTGACGAAATACTTGTCGACGACAGGCTCGAGGTACAAAAGGGCGATTGTTACCCGTTGAAACTTCGCAAATGATAGATGTGCTAGAGAAAGGTACAGATACATGTTTGAATATCAAGTTAGACTTCTCCTGGAAGCTTTTTATTTCTGCGTCGTCTACTTGCAATTTCGCGATTGTTTCCAAATCAATATCTTGTTTACGTACCAGAGTATTTACATCCTTTCGTGATAAAGCGTCTGCTACGACATTGGTATGTCCTTTGACATATTGGATATCTGTTGTAAATTGGGAAATGTAATCCAATTGTCGTGCTTCGCGAGGTGAATGCCGGTCGTAGGAAGTGTTCGACCTTGTAATAAGAAGTTGAAATGTTTGACAGCTAAGTAGATGGCTGGTAACTCCCGACCGAAAGTACTATAGCGTTCCTGAGTTGGCGACAGCCATTTGGGGAAAAACGCTATGGAAGTAGTCATGTTGTTCACCTGTTGTTATAACATTGCCCCGACGGCTTTCTGAGATGCATCCGTACACAAAATTAAGAGGGTTGTGGGGTCAGTAGTTAGATGTTGTAGCATGGTGGCCTTAGCTATAATCGACTTTGCTTTTTCAAATGCTGTTTTGGCGTCAGGAGATAGGTTGAATGTTTGATTCTTCTCTTCGTACCTTTTTTGTCGGCTTTCAGCAAATCAGTTAATGGCTGTAACACTTCAGCACAAAGTGATAAGAATTGGTGATAGAAATTACACATACCGAGGAAACGTCGTAATGACTTCACAGAGGTTGATTCGGGGTAGTTAGTGATAGCCTCGACTTTCTTCTGAAGTGGTTTGATACCTTGTGAGTCGATGTAATGTCCCAAAAACTCTAAGGCTGGGACTGTGAATATGTATTTCGATGGATTGATGGCAACGCCATGTTTTTTAAAACGATCAAAAAGGATGTGGAGATGTTGGATGTGCTCTTCTAAAGATGAGCTTGCAATCAGAACATCGTCTATGTAGGCAGACACGAAATCTAGGCCTCTTGTAACGTCATCCATGAAGCGCTGGAATGTCTGAACAGTGTTTTTCAGTCCGAATGGCATCCTTAGAAACTCAAACAAACCAAAAGGTGTTATTATGGCTGTTTTTTCGATGTCTTCTGGTGCCATCGGAATTTGGTGATGTGCTCGCACTAGGTCGAGCCTCGAAAAAATGCATTTACCGTGTAGGTTTAATGAAAAGTCGTGTATATGTGGAATTGGGTACTTATCAGCAATGGTTTGGTTGTTCAGTCGGCGATAGTCACCACACGGACGCCAGTCTTGGTCTTCTTTAGGTACCATGTGTAATGGCGAGGCCCAAGGGCTGTTGGATGGCCTGATAATACCAAGTTGCATCATATGTTCGAATTCTCTTTTAGCTACTTGCAACTTGCTTGGCGGTAGTCTCTTCGTCCTGGCGCTAATAGGTGGACCGGTGGTAGTGATGTGGTGTTGTACCTGATATGGGCTACATTCCTTTTGATAATCTGATTTCGTGATGCACTCGTATTCTGACAGAGTGTCGTTGAAAACATTGTTTGCAGGTTTCATTATTCGCACACTATGGATTTAATAATCGTTGGGAGGTGTACCATCTACCCGTAGACGTGTGTTCGCGTCGATCGATCTCTTCTTGGTCATATCTACTAACAAATTGTACGGACTGAGGAAATCGGCTCCCAGGACGGGTCGTTTGACTTGGGCAACTATGAAAACCCATGTAAATCTTCTGCGGCGTCCGAGGTCTACTATGAGTGATTGCTCTCCGTACGTTTTGATGATTGATTCGTTAGCCGCTATGAGAGACAGCTTAGTGCTTGTTGTTTGGTGTCTTCGGGAGAGATGAAGTGGGATAATGCTGAATTTTGCTCCTGTATTGACTAAAATGTCCGAGCCAGAAATGCGATCCCTGATGTGAAAGAGGCGGCTAACTTGTTGGTCAGTAACAGACACCGCCGTTACTGTCTGGCCGGCTCGTTTCCCTGATGGTCTGTCTTGTTTGTCGTAAAGTTGCACGGTTTAGTGGAACGACGTGCTTTTTTCCATAATTCGAGTGATACCAACAAATGCCAGCTGCCCGTTCGGGTGACCTAAGGCGTTGTTTGGACACTGACCTTCTTTTGGACGTTGTTCTAGCAGATCGAGAATGAATCGTTGCACTAGTCGCCTGAAGGGATGCTAACTGCCGTGTTAAGTGTGTTATCTGTTGCTGAGTGTTGAGTGCGTTACTCATATCTTCTCAACTGGAGGATTGTACTGCGTTAATTCCGCGACTATCGGGATATATTTCCATCATCTTACCAGCCATATCAGCTAAATCGTCAAGGGTGACAGAGGTTCCTGAAATACTGAGAATTTGTCTAACATTATGTGGTAACCTTTGTAGCCACATTTGCTTAAGTAATGCTTCGTCTAGTTTGTATGGGCCGGCTAGCTGTCTCATATGTCGGAGCACCTGTGAGGGTCTCTTATCCCCTAGTTCGCATGAGGTAAGCAGTTGTTGTCAACGTTTTTCGTCTGGGAGCGATGTGCGTTGGATTACTGCAGCTTTTATCTTGTCATAAGGATCAATTTCTGGTACGTTGTCGATCAGGTCACCGACTTCCGTTGCTACTTCTATAGGTAGTGCACCGAAGGCGTGGGCATATTTGGTCGCTTGCGAACGTATACCCCTCGCCAAAATAGTGCCTCAACTTGTGCAAACCAAATTCTAGGGTTTTTGACACCGTATGTTGGTAATCTTAATTCAGAAATAGCATTGATTGAGTTTAAAACATTATCTTCTGGCTGTGATGAATGAAGGGGGTTGGTTGGTGGGCTATCTATATCAGTAAGTTTACTAGGAGAGCGCATGGTGTGAAAAACAAAATGAACTAGTTCGCCAAGTAAAAAAATATAAATAGTATACGTCTATAATAAATTAAAGGCTCACCAAGTATTTGTGGTGGACCAGACAATGTATATGGTATATTCCCACTCACAGTCTATAAATGTAAGTAATATTTGGTTTAGATTTCAGTTAACTCAATCGCCAACGAGGGATGTGTGTCTAGCAATGTATTTGTTAACAAGTCACAGTATGTCACGCTATGTAGTTATACAACGGAAAGTGTCTCCAAGGTCATTCACTTAAACAACACGTACAGTCATTTAATGAAAATGTACATACAGTGAGAAATTGACAAACTAAATACAAATAACATTAAAAACTATTTACGAAATAGGCTTGTCAGGCCTATCTCCACAGACCTCCTATTCTTATTATTGAAGATTGGTATTGTACTTTGAAATAACTTTGGTTTGTTTGGATCTATCAGTTGGAAGGTTTCCAAAGCAGATATTCGATGAACGGAACTGTCCGTTTGGGAATGTTTGTCATTTTTGTCTTGTTTTTATGTGGGACCGGAGTGGTTTATTCCAATTTATGTCCAAGACAGTGTTTGCCGGGATCCTGTTGCGAAGTTGAAGAAAATGACTTCAGATGCTGTCCTTATGCTAATGTATGTTTCAAATGATGTATAATATTCTCATATAACTTCTCAGGGTGTATGTTGTAGTGATGGGAGAAACTGCTGTCCTCAAGGGACAAAGTGTGATTTGGAACTCGGTCATTGTCGTTCTCCGAATGGGACTGTGTTACCCTCCAAACATATATCAGAGGTGAATGTTCTTTTTTTGCATTTTGTTTCAGTATGACATGTAAGTGTCGCTGTGTAAGGAAATCTCTTTACTTTTCTGAATCGTTATTGGTATTTAGATAGAGTTCGTTTCTCCCCAAGCATTTTATTCTGAAGTTCGCTATTTAGAAAGTTGAAGCGATCTTTAGACAAGTCTTCTTATGAAGACAAGGCATCTAAATTTCTGTACTCCTAAAGTTTGACTGCCTTTTTCACAGGGTATTAGCTTGATAATATTATAATAGGCCGAGATCTAACGATCGTGAGGTTTGTGCTGAGATTTTCTCATTTAATGATTTTGTTGGGACGCAAAGTAACATGGCTACTCTTACTTTCACTAAGTTTGATACGTAAAATGAAATAATCAATCTCCACAAACATTAAATACAACAGAAACAAATATTTAACTTTTCTCATGATAATTAGGGTCTACATCGACTAATCTCCATCTTGATGTTGTTCGGCAACTTTGGTCAACATATTTGGATTATATTTTGGTTATAACTGACTGAGCGACTTTTTAGTGGCATAGTGTTATCATCAGACTTCCAGGTTCCACTTCTTAAATATGAGCAGGATGCCTTTAATCCGCATCGTGTTCAGTAGAGTTGTTTCACATTTTGTGCACAGTATTACATAATGTGGTGAAACTCTAATTTATGGACGACCTTTGAACGAATTTTTAAGGGACCTTGAGGACATTAGCCAATCAGAAGAGAGTTAGTATAAAGTAAAAATATATTATAAAAGAGTGATGAATTACAATGGATATTCTTCTTTTACATTATTTGAGAACTTGTTGAGGTTTGATATAGATTCAGAAGTTTTGAAGTCATAGTGCATGCGGTATAAGAACTCGTCCATATGACTCTATAATAATCGTCCTCTGGAGCCGTGGTAGGGTTTTAAAGAATACTTCAGCCTAGACCACATGCCCTCAATGTTGTTTGTATGGACCCCCCGTCGTTGGATCAAAGAAATAACGTTTGTACACCACAACATGATGCACAAAACCAAGTCTGGAGAGGCATCTATACGCTTTCAAAACATCGGTATAGCCGCAGCTAATGTTACTGGAGACTTTATGATCCAATTTGCAACGATTATCATGGTTTGTCTTAGCCTTAGCCGTGACCGGGTAAAAAAGTGACAGTTCGAGCAATTTTTTCTACAACATATAGTACAACGAAATACAATATCATCGTGGCAGTCTGCACATCGTGCTGCGGTCATTTAATTGCCGCAGTCACAGACACAGGAACTTCCTAATAGTCCCATCTGCTGTAGTCTCTCAACGATCACCTATTCCTTAAAATCTGCTGTAAAACGATCTAATGTGAGCATCTCGCACTGAACTTAGCGCCATGACCTTGAAATTCCTTAGACGCTTCTGATTGGCTCGTCCATAAATTAGAGTCCTACCCATAATGTTTGTGGATATGCGCAAAGTAAAAATCCTGTGGACCTGAGACCCAAGTTTCTTCGTAACATGTATCCTAGTGACATAAGATCAAAGACTCAAAACATTAAGCCAACATCGCTCTGTATGCTTGGATTAGACTAATAGTAATGTAAACCAATTAAAGTTCACTTAAGGATGCCTAGATATTATTCCAAGCTAATAGACTATGTGATATGTCCCAGTAATTTTTTATTTGCTAAACGACCTAGTCTCTTTTGAATTTATTTCGGCTTAGAATCAGCAAAATACCGCATCGCACAATTGTAATTCGTAGGAATACTCTGTAAACGGATCTTTACTGTATTATTGGGCAAAATCTCCAATTATGTAGTAGTGCTATGCGAGTATTCAGTGACCGTAACCAGTTCTGATTTTTATCATCCATTCCGGGAAATTCTTGTGTAAATGTTCAGATCACTGAGTAAATATGAATGCAACTAAAAAAATATATCGTTGGTATTTGTTAATTTTTATTACTTATTGTGTCGATGAGTCCAAGTTCTGAAGTCCTATATTGCCCCCAAGTGCCCTGGTACGGTCGAGAGTGGGGAGAGTCCGCTCTCCCTCGCGAAATGCTCTCACATGTCCACGCATATATAGCCTCTGCCGGGGAAGTCCTACTCACTGCCTTCTCGTGGCGGGGGTGTTGTTTACGAAATTGAGAGGACGAAAAGCGAATGTCTGGCACTTTAACCGGGTTGGTGGACATGGAGAGTTGGAAAACCCTCATTCCAAACCAATGGTGCACATTGACTTCAGTATGTTGAAGGAACAAATGGTGTATGAACCAATCGTTGGTCATCGGCTACCATGGGACTGCATCTCCTTACGATGCTCCACTGACTTGTGGATCAGACCTTTAGGTCGAAGGCTCCGAGTGTGGTCCCCTATGGAAACCTGTTGCTTCGGTTTGGGCACCCGGGCCTTAGCACAGCCCAAACACAATCAAGAGACTTGTGTGGAGCATATCTATTCGGTGCCTCTTTGTACCAATATGTGTTAAAATTAAATAAAAACGTTGTGATACGTTAGCACTAAAAAGCCTGATTAAAATACGAGATGAGTCTGCACTTATTCTTAAGATTTGTCCCAAAGAAGTAAGCGTAAATTCTTAGGTGAGTTTAAAGTTACTTCCTACGCAGCTGTCAACTACCGAACTAGAAGGATGAACGATAAAAAATGAGTCGAGATGTTCAGGCAGGGAGAAAGAATTAGTTTGTAGAAAGCGATGCATAAATTAGTTTTAATCTCAAGGTTTAAGTTGAGATAGACTGTACACGCGCCATTGTGATAGATTATGAGCCAAGTCATCCAGTCTCTAACCACCGGTTACAATAGTCGTGCGGACATCAACCAAGTAATCTGCATCTACTAAAACGGCTCAGATCAGAAGTTAGTGAAATGATGCCAATTTTTGGTTTGGCCACCCCTAACTTCCAACTATCTCCAACACTAGTCAGCATTGAGCGCCATATTATTCGCTTGTCGGGCATGTGTAACACGTGGGCCAACCATTTCAGTCGATGAAGCTTCCTAACCTTATCAACTGGTTTATCATCACTCCCTAATACTCTTCATCCAACCTCACCAAAACAGGACTATCATCTGCACATTCTAAGTCGATAAGTGGACCTCGTGGAAGGAAACCAATTCCTGGAAATCCAGATGACGAGAGCGTTATTTCCAGCAGTAGGTCTATGATGAAATTAAAAAATTGAGATAGTGGACAGTCTCACAGGACATCACTTGAGGTTACGAAATCAGATGACAGTTCGCCGTAAGCTCTGAATCAACTGGTAGTGTTCGAGTGGAGCCTCCACAAGGTTTATGTACTTCTGAGGTACACCTTTCAATGACAGTAGTATATCTAGTAATCATTTTCATTGTATGGCGCATATATATCTGGTGTCCCCTTGTACCAATATTTGTGTTCAAACAAATAAATGAATAATGACATACACTGCCACAGAACCTCTCGATCTACAGAGTCAAATGCTGCTTTTAAGTCAAGAAAGATCACCATTGTCGGACGCCGATAAGTATGCTTGTGTTTTAGAACCTGACGAATGGTGAATATGTAGTCGATGCAGCCACAACCAGGTCTGAAGCCAGCTTGGTTTTCTCATATTTGCAGTTCACGAGTCTTAGTTAGGTGTCCGATAATCATCGAGGCTCGTATTTTAGGTACTATATCATTTAAACTAATCCCTATATGGTTGTTACAGGATGATTTTGACCCCTTATATAATGGGACGATCAGTGATTGCGACCAGTCAGATGAGATAACGTCGAATTTCCAGATTTTAGCTAAAATATTAATCAAGCTAATCGCTAAAATTGGACCACCATCCTTAAAGGCTTTTGGAGTTAATCCATCTGGACCAACTGCCCTTCCTCGTTTCAGATTAACTATAGCCTTTTGAAACTCAGCTAGAGTTGGGGAACCTAGATAAGTGTGATCCTTTTTTCGAGATTGTCTCATTTACACTTAACTTTTTATTACGGTTTGTCTTATTAGTCTGAAAAGCTGTCCAGTGTTACGTGCAGCCACTGTCTTTTCCATCTTTTTTGCTTTCGTTGCCCACCACTGCTCACTGTTGTTCTGTAACTTTTGGTTTAGGTAGATGTGATTTGTTTTCGCTCTTCATCATGCTTGGAGCATGATGGGTGATGAGTTTACGTGTTTGCTAAAAATAAATGATTTTCTGAGCGCAGTTTCAGCAGACGATCACCATTATCTGTTCTCTGTGCCGGAATACTAAAACACCCACTTAAATGTCTCTCTTTGGTTTAAGCTACCTACTTGGTCGTTAAATTCACCTATGAGTACCATGAGTGTTCAACTTTTTGAAGACGTTCAGTAAGCTTACTGAAACACTTATTTTTTAATTCATCAGGGCTGCAGTCCGTGCGAGCGTAGGCAGAAACGACGTAAAGGCAACGATATGCGTCACTATCCTTCCGAGTTTTTAAGAAACCGTTTAGCCGAACAGCATATAGGTGACTGTTAACGGTAATCCACTCTAGTAGTGCTTGTTATGCCCTCATACTTATTGCTGTGCCTGCATCCACTATTTCACAAGAACTAGTCATCGGGTCGATAAATAAATGGAGGGTGTATCTCGTCTCCCTCGTTTTGGCGAGGTGGGTTCGAGTGAATGATCACACTAGGATCCTGTATGCGTGTTTCGTAGACGCAGCATACATCAATGTTACGGGATGTTAGAGTTTTAGCCAAGGAGGCCTGCTGACCGATTTGACATAGGGTATGTACGTTAAATGCTCCAATGTGTAGTTTAATGCGGCGTTTCAACACATTTAGGAAAGTATTTCGCCCACTAAAATCGTTGCCCATGGTTGCCCTCGAAGAGGAAGTTTAGAGTTAAAAGTCGAGGTAGGAGGAATAATAGGAATTAAAGAGGGAGATTGATTATGAATACAGTGGTTTTGGGTACTGTTAGAGGTACTGGGACGGTTATTACTTACTGGTTGCCCACACCATTGAAGGGTTCTTCTAGAGGTAACTGAAAAGGAAATCGGGTTAGAGTTAGTCACACCTCTGTACAATCAGAAGTATGATTTCGCCCTCTGGTCTTGGGTTTGCAGCTTTCAGTCTTACCACTCTTCAGCCGACCTGTCTGGCATGATAGGACCTTGAAGAACAATTGTTCCAACCAGTATAGCTCGATTGCTTCATCACGATAGACAAGCCCGACCTTCACGGTAGGGACTGCGCATAATGTGTGGAGAGTGGTTCTTCATCTATATCTCGTTTGTATTTTAGTATAATAAGTTCTAAATTCTCTATTATTAAATACAATAGTTTCCATATAGAATACTTGACTGCTCGTTTATGACCGATTTTCATTCATTTTCAGAAAGTAATTGGTGACTTAAAAACCAGTACTTTGGATATGGTGCTTAGGAGACTATCTACAAACTACATTATGTGTCCCGACCGCCAGTCAGTGTGCCAGGATAATACTACATGTTGCCCAATGTCAGGTGAGATATGGGGTTGTTGCCAACATGCCAACGTAAGTTCCTTTTTGGAAATACCTCGTGTTATTACATTATTGCTTTATTGGTTCACTCATACATAGTATTTTAGAAATCCCCGTAAACGAATCTCTGGTACTCATCTTTTTTTTGAACAAACATTAAATCTGGTTTAAATCGGAATACTAGTTGTCGTCTCTCCATCATGTAAAAACTTGTGTGACAAGCCAACAGCTACTTGAAATTTGGCGAGTCCCACTAACTTTTTCTTTGTTTTATGACTACTTAAGCCTATCCATTAGCAACTTCTTTAAGGGTTCAGTCAGTTTTTTTATCTTCATAGACTATAATAAATGCCATAATAGCCATGGGATTGGCGTTTACTAACCTTTATTTATTTAAACACATAAACATTGGTACAAGGAGGCAACAAATATATATGCGCCACACAAACAATTTGATTCCCGTGGGGGCTGGAATACTGCCCGTGTGTCCAAACTGAAGCAAGTGTTTTCTTTAAAGGGCCACTCCCCGAGCTAATGACCTAGAGGTATAATCCACAAGACAGTGGATCAAAGTTAGATGCAGTTCATGCTAGCTGGTGACCAACAATAAGTTCATAAGTCTCTTGTCCCCTCAGGATCCTGGTGCCCATGTGCACCACTAGTTTGGAATGAGGGTTTCCGAACTCCCCTAAGTGAATCCTTTATAACCACCAACCCTGTTAAAAATCCGAACATTCGCTTTTCGTCCTTTCAATTTCGTAAACAATATCCTCCTTGAGAGTAGGCAGTGTTTAGGACTTCCCTGACGGGCTGTATGCGCATGGCCATGTGAGAGCGTTTAGAGAAGGAGAGTGAACTCTCCCCCCCTCGACCGTCCCAGGGCATTTGGGAGCTGTTCGCTGATCAGTCCTCTACCCATCACTTCATAAAGTCATAGACAGTTGGACTTGGCCATGTTAATAGGTGTAGACTACGTGGTTGAGATCCGCGTGATTATCATTACCAATAGTTAGGGACTTTGAATCATATGGCTCAAAATCGTTTGCAATGGTGCAGATGCATCCATTATTTGTCATCCCCGAAATTCTGAATTCCTCATAACCAATACTTTTGTTTTTATTTCATTAATTTATATTTTCTTTCCAAATCGTGTTTGATATCTAATCTTTCCTATTGCCACTGATACTGTTACTACCTCTAATATTCTAAGATTTCGCCTTACAATCCCATCTCTCTCTCTCTGTTATTTGGGTATGGGGACTTGAACCGATGTACACACGTACCAGGTTCTGCATTGTGACTGACTGTCTGACCGATAAATTCATAATTATTACTATTACGAGAAACAAATATTGAGTTTGGAAATAATCCTTGTTATAAGTCAGAGATGGTGAATTTCACGTCGATTGAGTCTTGAACACTACAGAATATTGACAAACTTTTTCATTGATAATGTTAAAAGGTCACATATGAATTTTTTTTAACTCCACATTCCATAACTCATTATTAGTATAAGACTCTGAAGCAATAAGTTATAATTAATACTTCCCTTATCTAATTAGATATAGTATATAGGAACGGAACAAAAGCAACATATTTACTTTTATTGAAAACATATGCTCACTACTGACTGGCTTCAAGATATATATCCTGGAGTTCTAGTGAAAAGCAGTGACCAGTTGAGTTCAACCGGGTCAGTTGTGAGATGGTAACTCACTGATGACAATGTTGGATGTGTCGCTCAATTTCGTGGATTAGTTGAAGTTAGATATTAACACCGTTGGATGCCGGCTCAGTGGTCTAGTGGTTAAGTGGCCCTGGGTTTGAGTCCCGTGAGGCGGGGTCGTGGATGTTCACTGCTGAGGAGTCCCACAATAGGACGAAACGGCCTTTCAGTGCTTCCAGGTTTTTCATGGTGGACTCATGATCTCAACAATTGAAATTACTAAAATCTCCACAAAACCCCCTTCTGAAAATAATTTTCATTATGAACTAATATCTGTTAAGAAAACCGTTGAATTTTTCACTCACTAAAATAATCACAATAAAATCCTACATTACAGTTGTATTTAATTCCATTTTCTATGTTTTTATTATGGTCAAGATCCACTGGATTGAGTCGCGTTGCTCGGTTGATGGGCCTAACTTTTATATTTGATCACTTAATTGATGACTATCGATAGAGTAAATTATCATATCCAGTGATTGTAGTTAGATTTGACTGGTTAAGTCAAGTCAGTCAGTTATATACTATGTGGAACGCCTGACACTTGCTCATCGGTCCAAGTTGCCACACCACACACAGCGAGGTGGAATTATCAAGATTCGATTGCTTATAACTTCATAGACTGGTGCCACGTCTTGGTATAGTCATCCTTAACTTTATTTCAGTCTACTCTTACACCTGACATCACCTGTCATGGTAGGTGGTGTTTGAGCATACGTAACACACGTCCTAACCATCTCAGTTTACTACATCATCAACCGGTTATATCTACCTATATGATTATAGTTTTCAATATCCTTGATATGAAGCTTGTCGACATTTCTACCCTCTTTACATGAAAATACTAGACGTTTTTGTATTGTGTTTTAGTAAGTTTACTATCTTCATTGCAAATGTTTATTAAAGTTGTATATCAAGGGGTCATATTTCACTAATTATTAAGTGTATTAATGAAATAGGACCAGATAAACATGGTTTTCGAACAACAGTATCATGGGTAAATCCTAATTTTAGTCGTATCCACAGATAATTCAAGCAGTTAACTACAAATACAGTATGTGAATCAATTTTCCGAAGAAAGACATGGATTTCATTTTATGACGTATTCACAGAGAAGAAAACGAGATTACAAACCCAAGGCGAGGAGAATTGAACGCCAGTTTAAGTAAGAAGCTTCCGGCAATGAGAGCCTACGGGTTTTTCTTCCAAACTTCATTCTATTCATACCACTAATAGCCTTCAAATAAAAAATACCCCAGTTAAGTACATAGGACTGTACTTGGTAAATGAGTTCTACTGTTTATGTCCCTAAATAAGTCACCCAAACTCTGTGATGAGTTTTTTGTATTATTCATAGGCTATTTGCTGTCCAGATGGAGAACATTGTTGCCCTCATGGTTCAGTCTGTGATCTGGTACATCGCTCATGTAAACCAGCTAAGTCCAATGAAATCCCAGAGATAAAAGAATCTTCCCACACCTTACACCTCGTATCAGCATCAGCTCCTGCACGTCTCAACCCAAATGTCAACCCATCTAAAGCAGGCTGGGGAAAAAAGATTCATAAACTGTCAGCCAATTATTTACTAGCTTATTCTGGTGTCGTATGTCCAGATCCATTATATGAATGCCCAGCTAATACAACTTGTTGTTCTAGTCCCGATGAAAAATGGGCATGTTGCCCTATTCCCCAAGTAAGTTTTTTTATATTATCTATGAATTTATAATTCAGAACTGTGTTAAAATGTCCACAAATCAATATAAACCTCCTGATTTCTTGTGTTTATTTTTAATCTGAGTTATATTGTTATTTATATTATAAAAGAATTATCCTACATTTCACAGTAACATTCCTCGCTTGATTAAGATCGCTCATTATCATATTGCTAATTAAAATGTAAAGGGTTTTTTTCGGGTTACTTAATATTTACTAATTTTTACGTAGAATTAGAAATTCAGATTTGGAACTTATATATTTATAAAGCTGGAATGTATATAGCAAATATAATTCATTAGAGTGTTGAGTAAATTAGCCTAGTGACATAATTCTATACTTCATTAGTAACATTTTTAATCAATTTTATTGGGTTAGATTGGATGTTGGCTATCCAGTAGTGAACTACTAAAGATTTTTGTTTCATATATTAACAAACAATCATAATGCAATATCTAACACAAAAATACACTAGTTCAAGTGACTGCGTCGCCCCCGACCGTTGTTTCCACCTTGATGTGGTGATCGGGCTTGCCTATCGTGATGAAGCAATCGAGCTTTACTGGATGGAACAATTGTGCCAGACAGGTCGGCTAAAGAGTGGTAAGATTAAAAGCAGCAAGCCTAAGACCAGAGGGCAAAATCATACTGGCGACTGTACAGAGGTGTGACGGCAGTAAGGTGCTTCCCTCAGACAACCAGCATAACAACGATGCCGCCTGACTAAAAGGGAGGGTGAAGTTAGAAAAGGTCGACCGTAAACATACACACCTCACCATATCCAAAGGATATCGGTCACCAGTGGTAAGGTCACAACAAGTCAAGAGCTAAGACAAAGATTACTCACAGAAAGTTCGTGTGTTACCGGCCTCAAGTAGTTGTCCCTTAGGCATTGTGGTCACGCTCTCAGTTGACCAAACCAACTCTAACCGAATTTCCTTTTCAGTTACCTCTAGAAGGGCCCTCCCACGGTGTGGGCAACCGGGAAGTGAAAACCGCCCTCATACCTCTAACAGCACTCATGACTGCAGCGCCTCAACACGAAATCCATAAAACAGAACGTAAATAATATGAAAATATCCACCTAATATACACTTGTTTGTGTCACATTGTGGATATTTTAAACATGGCAGTAAAACTCCCACTCTTAAGAGTGGATGTCTTCATTAAACATATCGTTGAACCAAATATGGTAGTTGACAATTTTCAGTTGTACGGGGAAGGATGGTTATCATTGTGTTATACGAAATACGATTAAGACATATCATCCAATCACCTGTTCTCGATTAACTACTAGCATTGTGTTACTCCTAACACTACTATTTACCATACTTTGTCATTGTCTGTTTGAATTTGGACGATAGATATTTTGCATTTTCAAGACCTTAATATCTTATTTAATCTTATTCATAACCAACATAATTTGATATGTTGTTGTGTAGAATATCACTTTTTAGTACGAATGTAATTTAGTGAACGAAGTTAAAAACTGATTACCAGTTTTGATCGAATGTAAAATAGTTCTTAATCAAAACATAACGTTAATATTAGGAACTATTTACTAAACATCTTTATTTCTGTATTCCTTGTTCACTATTTCTTTCATCTATCTCTTATATCTACATTTAGTTAGGTTATCGTGATATTCTTTTCTTCATATTATGTAGACTGTCTCCTTTCCTGGTGTTTATAACGAAGCTTTGAATAAGTCCCTTGAACAGATGTACAATAATAAAAATAGTTCATATTCTGTCGCAAATTTTAATTTGATTTATATGAGCTTATCAACATTGAATGGTACACAATTGTGTCCAGATGCAAAATCTCGCTGTAGCAGTGAACAAACATGTTGCAAACTAAAAAGTGGAGAGTGGGGTTGCTGCCCTGTGATAAATGTGAGTAACTTACTGGAATGTTTAGAATTAGTGGGGTTCTACTGACCATTCAACAGGTTTGACTTGTTATTTTTTTTGCTATATTATCTCATAGTGATTAAAACTTAACTACTTACGTTAAACCTATCCGATATTTAAGGCTTGAATCCTTAATACTGTGAAAGTACAACCAGATATGTTTTTGCCATATATATATATATATATTTGAACACAAATACTGGTAAAGTGGGCACCAGATACATATGCACCGCACAAATCTCGTTTGGTCAGTGTGAGGGCTATGATACTGCCTGGGTGCCCAAACCGAAACAGGTGGTTTTTTTAACGGAACACAACCGGAGCCTTCAACTTATAGGTCTGATCCACAAGGCAGTGGAGCATCGTATGGAGATGCAGTCCGATGGTAGCCGGTGACCAACGACTGTTTCATACGCCATTTGTTCTCTCAGGGTACTGGAGCCCATGTGCACCATCGGTTTGGAATGAGGGTTTCCCAACTCTTCTAGGTGGACTCTCCGTATTCTCCGGCCCGGTTAAAGCCTCTGTCGGATATTTGTTTTCCGCCCTATCAATTTCGTAAGCAACACCCGTGGTGCGAGAAGGCAGTGAGTAGGACTTCCCTGGTAGTGGCTGTATACGCGTGGTCATTTGAGAGCATTTGGAGAGGGAAAGCGGACTCTCCCCATCTTCGGCCGTACCAGGGCATATATTCAGTTTTTTGTTTCTTGTGGACCTTTGTTTTTCTCTGACATTAGAAAGAGTCATCCTAGAAATATCTCAAATGATAAGTTATAGGGATTTGTTGTTAGTTTTATGAAACATAGAAAATCATTAGTTTGTACATCATTCAATTCATGTTTCATTATTGTTTTACATTTTATTCGGTTCATTCTTTTCACCAAAATCAGTTACCATGAATTTTGATACAATTCACTCCAGTCGATTGTTTCATTTCTTCATTAGTTTTAATTGATGTATTTGATAAATAAAATTCATATATAGATTTAAATCTTTTGTAAATTATTATCTGTTAAAGTTATGTGCTATTGTTAGGAATCCTAGATACCCAGAACTCACTTGATAAACGTTTATTTTTGTAAATTTGAATTTCTTGCTTTCCCGCCAAAAGTTTTCATTTTTACCTTCATATCATTATTCCCACTTGTCAGGACCTTAAATATGACGTTTTCCAAAGACATTTATATGCTTAAGTTGTGCCTGTTGTTGTTTGTACTTCTAACTGTTTGTGAAATACATTTCCCTCCTGTGAAACTTAACTTCTCTCGTTAGTTAGCGAGGCTGGAACACATCAGAGTAGTTAATTAATTTGATCATTGTGTCATTGAGTCTCCGTTCCATTCTCAGATTTGGGTGATCTATTAATTTCTGCAAATATAACAGTTACATTCTTACAGAATTTAATCTATGAAAATGATAAATATGGTTCGTTACATATATATGATTTATATCAAAGGTCAATTAATATAAAGTGTTACTTAGTATCTAAACTATTTGTAGTGAATGAATTAGAACATGGTGTGATGAATATTTTTTTCTCTGTTGGTGATTAGCTACTTTGTTTTGAAACATTTTACTTATTTCAGCATAAGATTAAGTTTGGTCTTAATAGGTGGCAAGTTTTGAGAGAGAGAGAGAGAGAGAGAGAGAGAGATAATATTTCAGTGTGTAGTATTGCGTGATTTTATTTCAAAATAACAGATATTTTCTTGTTGTTGTTCTTGGTAATTCACTATTTATATTTATTTTATTTGAACACATAAATATTGGTACAAGGGGGCACCAAATATATATGCGCCACACAAAACCATGAAAATTTGAAGTGAAGAAAAAAGATAAGGAGCGTAAAAGAAAAAGAACAGTAATGAACAGATTAGTGTAAGGTAGTGTAATAATAATAATAATGGGAGCAACGGAAAGACACAACCAAGAGAAATTTTTCAGTTAAGGAAGATACAACCACTTTTTATGAAGAAAGTAAAGGAAGGTTACAGCAGGATCCCCACTGGCTTCTATTCTGAGCCATATCTGATAACGTCTCTAACCACTGTGTCGCACCATCTCTCGGACCCCAACCAGGTATTCGTGAAGGACCAACACAAGCCAGTCCTTTGCAGCTTTCTTTCATGCCACGACACCATCTCATGCACTGACCACCTCTCCGCTTCTTCCAACCAGTCCCAGAGTCGGCAAATAATGCACGACGTGGAATTCTCTAGGACGTCATTCGTACAACATGTCCCAGCTCTTATGCAACTACCTAGATACACGAACTTCTCGACTACCTCTAACTGCTCACCATCCAGAGTGAGTACAGGATTAGAATCCTGCCAGTCTTGTGGAAGTACTTTGCACTTCGAAGGTGCAAAGCACATACCATACCTACGGACACTGATTGCCAACTGATTAAGTGCACATTGCATGGCTCGGGCATTATTGCACAGTAAGACAATATCATCCTCAAACTCAAGGTCGAGAAGTCTTTCTCCAGGCAACAGATCCACACCGCCATTACTTACACCCATCAGAGCTGTTTCCAGAATGTCATCGATGGCAAAGTTGAAGAGCAATGATGAGATTGGGCAACCCTGCCTAACCCCACTGCTCGAATGGAACAGTGGAAAGAGGTGATTGTATGCCCTCACTCTACCTGAGGTGTTTGTATATAGGGCTTTTAGGATGTTAATAAACTTCTCAGGCACACCCTTCCTCAATAGACAATCCCAGAGAACAGTCCTATCCAACGAATCGAAGGCAGCCCTGATGTCAAGAAACACTACGATTGTTGGCCTTTGATAAGTATGGCGGTGTTCTAACATTTGGCGGAGGGCGAAGATATGATCAATACATCCTCGACCAGAACGAAACCCAGCCTTCTTCTCTCGAGTCAATCTTTCTTGAGTTTTGAACAACCTACGAAGTATGACGGAAGCCGATAGCTTGGACGCAATCGGAAGTAGACTTATCCCCCGATAGTTGTTACAGGAACGACGTGAACCCTTTTTAAAGATAGGGATAACTATTGACTCATTTTATTACGTTGGTAAATTCTCTAGTTCCCAGACCT